GAGGACGAGAAGGAAGAGGAATAGTAGGAGGCAGTGAGGGAGCATGAGACGGTCAGTGAGGGCATCTTCTCTGTCCTGCTCCTCCTCCTTCTCCTTCTCCTCCTCCACCCGTCCCTCCTCCTCCTCCAACTCCTCCGCCATCTGCTCACCCCCCCTTCTACTGCTCCCGCTCCCCCCCATCAGGTCATCCCCCCTCCTCCCCCACCGCCGGTCTTCGCCCCCCCCTCCCCCCTTCGGGTCCTCGAACAGCTCCAGCGCCGCGAGAGCGGGCTTGGAGAGATCAGCTTGCCAGGTGATGTCAGCTGTAATCTCCCCCGAACACTTGCAGCCGCACTTCCGGCGGAAGGTCATGAAGTCGCGAGTGGCGTCCCTGATGAGGTCTTTCTCGGCGTTGCTGATCTGGAGACTAGCAGGGGGGGGGCCATTGAATTGTTTGACACTGTTCGTGAGTGGTGGGCACCCGGGCCTCGTGATCAGTCGTCGTTTTACTTATCTTCTCATCCTCCTCCTTCTCCTCCACCCCTCGCCCCCCTCCTCGTCATCCTCTCCTCCCTCCTCCGCCTTCTCCTCCCTCCTCCTCCGCCTCCTCCTCCTCCTCCTCCTTCTCCTCCTCCCCTCCTCCTCCTCCTCCTCCTCCTCCGTTTCCTCCCTCCTCCGAGCCTGCTCAACCACTCCTGGCGCATCCAGGTCAGCATGGACTTCTTGTAGAGCACGTCGTCGACCAAGCCCTTGCCCATCTGTCCGGACGCGTAGCCCTGCAATTCGCGGAGCCCGAGGGAGGTCAGCATGTTGTTGTCGAACGCATCCGCGAACGCAATGAACACGTACTCGATGTTAGCCTCATCCTTCGCCTTCGAGATGATGGTCTGTAGCTTGTGGATGCTGTCGAAACAAGATCTGTGAGCGTGCGATTCGTCCATTCTGCGGAGCACCTCCAGGACAGCCGGGATGCTGAACGCCCTGTTCCAGATCGTCAGCGCGGCGTCGCAATATGAGAACGTCAACTGCTCTTGGCATTCTGCTCTCTTTGACCTCTCATTGTAGATGTCGACCACCTCTTGGACGGACATGTCATGCTTCCCGGCAGTCACCTCCATGTGGGACTTCAAGTTGGCGATCTCACAGATCTCCTGGAAGGCCGTCCTGGCAAGGGAATCGTACTCCTGAACGACTGCGTTCCTGAGCGTCTTGGCCTTGAAAAAGAGCAGGTGTTCCTCGACGACAATGAACCGCATGGTCACTGTCAAGAAGAACACTTTCCACGCCTCCAAAATCGAACGCTCCGCTTCGTTGTTGATGTCCCTGGCGCAAGCCATGAGCGCAGCGTGAACTGCTTCTTCCGGAGATGCCAACTTGAAGTGACCGAACTCGGACGACTCCACCGTGCCGGACGGAACGTTGACCACGATGGTACCCTCAAAGTAGGTGGGCATCTCACCTTCTGGGTAATAAAACTCCGACAAGGCGCGAGTGGTCTCGACCCTGTTCGGAACTCCCGGCGCAGCAGAACTCATAATATCACACCAAAAAAGATTAGCACCACATTGATACACTTTCGTCCGCTTCATCGACGCCGCACACATCACCTCTGAGTACGGGGCTTGGAAGCCTGAGTCGTCACCAGATTTCGTCGTCTTCTTGGCGTCGTCCTGCTTGATGTCGAGCGGGGCGGCGTCCTCGATGTTCATGAACACCTCGCAGCTTGCGATGGTGCTGACGCAGCTCTCAATCATTGACTTGTACTCTGCATTGATCGTCTTCTTCTGAATCTCGGAGTTGCTGATGGTGGCGATGGAAGGGCCAGCGCCGTCGGCCGAACCAGTAGCACCAGAGCCGCGGCCGCGGCCGCCACGGCCGCCGCGACCGCGGCCGCCGCCGCGGGCGGCGGCAGCAGCTGGACCAGCAGCCCTTCCAACGGAGGAGCGCTTAGCCGGGGCCATGACGACGGGTTGATTCCGAAGCTGCAGCGTGCAGCGCGCGTGAGTTGATGGCGCTGCAGCTTGCAGCGCGCGAGAGCTTGAGCAGTAACTGCTGGGGCTGCAGGCGCACCCCCCTGGGGCCCGCGCGGCACGCGCGCTCCTGAGGCCAACGAGGGCCAGATTGTTGAGAGATGCCCCTGGGAAAGAGCTCTGACTCAACAGTCACGTGCGCTAGTGAATGTTGGGAGCGCGCCGATTCAGCATTGCTGAACCAACTTCCGACTGTTGAGAGGAAAGCGAAATCTGGCCCCTCGCCCAACGCAGGCAAGTCAACTCAGCAGGTCCCCAGCAGGCATGCCCTCGACAATCACTAGCGCTATGTCCTGCTGAGCCAGCCCCCCAAAGTTGAGGTTTGGCTCGACACTTTGAACCTCGTTGGCCCTGCCTGGGTGCGCTCCTCCCCCCCCTCCTCTGCCCCCTCCTCGTTCCTCCTCCTGCTTCTTCCTCCTCCTCCAAATCCAGATGCTTCGCTCTTCCGGGCGCTTCTCCTCCTCCTCCTGCTCCTCCTCCTCCTTCTCCTCCTCCTCCTCTTCCTCCTCCTACTCCCTCCTCCTCCTCCACCCTCCTCCCAGATGCCATCCTCCTCATCCTCCTCCTCCTCCTGGTCCTTCTCCTCTTCCTCCTCCTCCTCCCCTGCCTCCCCCCCTCCCCTCGCTAGCGCTAGTGACTGTTGAGGGCGGCGCGCTATTAGCTATCGCTGTCGCCATCGTCGCTAGCGCTATCGACTGTTGAGAGCGAATCGCTATCGCTATCGCTATCGCTATCACTATCGCTATCGCTATCGCTATCGCTATCACTATCACCAGTCGCTATCGCTAGCATCCCATTCCAATCGCTAGCACTATCGACTGTTGAGAGTGGGCCAATCTGGAGGTGCACTCTCAACAGTCACTAGCGCTAGCGACTGGGCGTGGGATGCTAGCGATAACGATATGGTGGAGGCACGCTCAACAGTCGATAGCGCTAGCGACTGGAGTGCTAGCGCTAGCGACGACTGGTGATAGCGATAGCGATAGCGATAGCGATAGCGATAGCGATAGCGATAGCGATAGCGATAGCGATAGCGATAGCGATATATAGAGAAGGCTGTTCAAACCTCCTCGCTCCTCGTCATCCTCCTCATTCCTCCTCATCTCCTCCTTCTCCTCCGCCTCCTTCTCCTCCTCCTCGCGCAGGGGGTGTAGCCGCATCTCGGTTGATTGCCCTCTTTTTTGGCCATCATGGGCCCCGAGGTCCCCAACAGGATTTCAAGAGGGCACCACGAGGGCCACGAGCGAGACAGACTCGGCCGCTGTCCGGGCCGTCTCTCCGAAGGCCCTAGGAGGAGTCCGGAGCCCATGGGGCCCCGCCCAGAGGACTTGTCAAGAGGGCCCCAGCGGGGCCCGAAAGGCGGGGGGGGGAAGGGGCGCGGCTCCTCGGACCCGGGCCCGCGCCGAACCCTCCGGCCGGTCGGCCGCTGCTGAATCTGAAGGGGAAAATGAGACGGAGGAGGAGGGAGAAGGAGGAGAAGGAGGAGGAGGAGGAGCAGGAAGATGACGAGAAGGACGAGAAGGACAAGGACGAGGACGAGGAGAAGGATGACAAGGTGAGGAAAAGGAGGAGGAGGAGGAGGAGGAGGAGGAGGACGAGGAGAAGTCGACGACACCCGTGCATCGCGCGGAGCACGCGGCGCGGGGCAGGCGCTGCGAGCCTCGAGCAGCTGCTCAGCACCAGGCGCCGCCGCGTTGCTGCGGCCTGCGGGGCTGGCAGAGGAGGGGTCGTCGTCGTCGCTGTCGAATGCAATCGTCGCTGTCGGGTCGTCGTTGTCGCCGTCGTCGCCGTCGCAGTCGCGTCGACTACGCCGCCGTCGGACGCCGACATCTTCGTCGTCGGCGTGGCGTCGCCGTCGTCGTCGCCGACGTCTCGCCGCGTCGCCAGCACGTCGCCGAGCGCCACCTCCATCTTGATCGGTCGTCGCCGCCAATGTCGCCAGCCAGGGTCGACGAGGAGATGGACGTGATGGGGATGGGGGGGGGATAGGAGGGGCAGGTTGAGATGGGGGAGGTCGATGACGGAGCAGGCTGAGATGGCAAAGTGGGGAGAGAACGAGAAAGATGAGGAGAAGGATGAGGAGGATGAGAAAGCAATTTCGCCACTGCCATCGCCGCTCGCTGCGGTCTTGGCAACGTGTCCCGGCTGCCGGGCAAGCTGCCGCAGCAGCCTGCTTGTCATGCCGCGGGTCGAAAGCGCCGAATTTGACATTGCCCTTCTCCTTCTCCCCCTTGTCCTCCTCCTCCTCTCCCTCCCCCTTGTCCTCCTTCTCGTCTTCCTCATCGTCCTCCTCCTCGTCCTCTCCTCTCCCTCTCCTCCTCCTCGCCCCCCCTCCATTCCCCGAGCGCCGACGGCGGGCGCCCGGCCGACGACGGCCGACGGCGCGCGACCGGCCGACGGCCGACGACGGCTGCTGCGCACGGGCCACCGGCCGACGGCGCTGCGCACGGGCGGCCGGCAGCGCACGGCACGGGCCACCGGTCGGCGGCGCGCGCCCAGGCTGGCGCCGACGACGGGCGGAGGCCGGCGTGGCGGCGGGCCGGGCGGCCTCCTCCTCGACTCAGAGGTCTCCTTCTCCTTCTCCTCATCCCCCTCCCCCTCCTCCTCTTCCTCTTCCTCCTCATCCTCCTCACTCTTCTCCTCAACGTCCTATTCCTCCTTCTCCTCCTCATCCTCCTTGTCCTTCTCGTCCTCCTCCTATTCCTCCCTCCTCCCTCCCCTCCCCCAGTCTCCCTCGTCCCTCCTCACTCCCCCACCTCCCCTCCCTCCCTCCCTCGCTGCCATCCGCTTCCGCGGGCATCTTCGGGCGGCGACGACGACGAGGACGACGACGACGACGACGACGACGACGCGACGACGAACGCGAGGACGACGACGACGTCGACGACAACGACAACGACAACGGCGACGACAGCGAAGACGACTACGACTGCGAGGACGACTCAGAGCATCAACAGTAGGAGGAGGAGGAGGCCAGACCCAGAGGCTCGGCTAAAAGCCGCAGAAGCCACTCACCGTCCGGCGGTTGTCGACCACGGTGAGCCACGCCCGGGCCTCCTTCTCTGTGAGGAAGTACTTCACGCCCTTGAATTCCTGGGGGCAGGGGCTAACGCTGAGGAGGTCGCCTCTCGGGGCCGCCTCTCGAAATTCACCTCGGGGGCCCGAGAGGGCAACATCGAGTTTTTGTTTGTGCTTTAGACGCATTTCTGCCTTCCGGGGGCCGGGATGGGGCCTCAGTCTGAAAGCCGGGGCGACTTTGGAGTGGGAGGAGAGAGCGAGAAGGAGGAGTGGAGTGGAAGGAGAAAGAGAGGGAGAGTGGACGTTCGTTGTCTGGGGCGGGGGGAGAAAGAGAAGGAGGAGTAGGAGGAGTGGGAGGGGAAAGAGAAGGAGGAGACGACCCCCGTCTCCTCTCGTCGTGATCCTTTCCTCCTGGTCCTTGTCGTCCTCGCCCTTGTTCCTCCACCTATTCTTATGTCCTAGTTATCCTGCTCATTCGGCTCCACCTGCTGCTCTTTCAACTCCTCGTCCTCCTCTTCCTTCTCCTGCTCCTCCTCCTCCTTCTCCTCCCCTACTCCTCCTTCCTCCTCCTCCCTCTCCTCCTCCTCCTCCTCCTCCTCTCCTCCCTCCTCCTCCTCCCTCCTCCTCCTCCTCCTCCTCCTCTCCTCCCTCCTCTGCCTTCTCATGCTCCTCTTCATCTTCTCCTCCTTCTCCTCCTCCGTCTCCTTCCCCCCCTCCTTTTCCTCCTCCTCCTCCTCCTCCTCCTCCTCCTCCTCCTCCCCCTCGTCTTCCCATTCTCCTCCTTCCTTATCCTCCTTGTCCTGCTCCTTCTCCTTCTCCTCTTCATTTTATTGCCTCCTCAAGTCATCTGGCCGGCGCTTCTTCTCCGCGATGGAGGCAAAGACGATCAGCTCAGCGTCCCGGCCCCGCTCCTGGAACACCACGCTTTTGTCCTGCACCTCCTTCGCGGTCGTCAGCCACTTCCAGTTGTTCCCGACCATGCCAGTGCACCCCTGCAATATGGCATGCACAACTGGGTGAGCAGCCTTGAAACCATCCGTGCAATATGCCAACTTGCGCTTTTTGGCAGCGCTCTCGTACGCAATGGCCGTGCCATGTTGGGCCTCCGTCATGATGAACTCCAATGTCGCCAAGATGCCCCCCCGCAAGGCACATGCCCAGCCAGTCCTCTGGGCCACCTCCGCCGGCGTGGGGACGACAAAGATGTCCCCCTGCGTCCGATCGGTCGTGCGCACCATCTTCGCCTTGCGGATGGCGCTGGCGAGCTCGGTCTCGGACACGTCAACGGTGCTCTCGACGCACAGGCGAAGCCCGCCAATCTCCCGCGCCGGCGGCGTAAAGGCTCGGTCACGCCTTCGCCACTGCGCCGCTCGCTGCAAGGCCTGAGATCTTCGCCTGGCAACCTCCTTGAGCACGAGCCCACAGGCCTCCTCGCTCAAGCCCTCGATGGAAGTCGTCCCGTCCATGATGCTATCCACGAAGTACTCCATCCGCTTGCGGACCAAACTAGCTTCAGCAACGGCGTGAGACTTCGTCCAGCCCTCCTTGCCGACGCGCCTCATTTTTGAAGCTGCTGCGCTGCGCGTCCTCTCCCCAGCCTTGATCATCATGTCTTCGACTTCTTGACGACGTCGGTTGATCCACGCCGTCTCTGACTGCACCAAATGGTCAGTCTTGCGCTTCACACCCTTGTCGATGCGGCCAACGCTACCTGGAAGCCGAGGGGCGCCGAACTTGCAAATCTGCCACACCTTCCGTCCGACTTCTGAGATCACGGCCTTGTCGAGGTCCTTCTCCCAGCACAGCAAGGCAAGCTCGTCATTCTCAAGCGCATTTGAAGATGAACTGCGCCTCTGCTCCACAGCCCAAGAGTACTGCTTGAACGATCTCTCCACCTTTGACGTCGACCCCGTCCAGGCTGCGTATCTGATCAGCGCCTCCCGAAGTGCACCGATCTGGTCAGTCTCCTGCGTGAGGATCAGCATCATTTTAAGATTATCCCAGTGCGACCCTACCTAGGAGTTGGAACCCCTAGGAAAGCAGCATTAGTAGTAACAGTAACGCTAAGCTATAGCTAAGCTAAAGCTAAGCTACAGCTAAGCCGCAGCTAGGCTAAAGCTAAGCTAAAGCTAAGCTAAAGCTAAGCGAAAGCTAAACTAAAGCTAAGCCAAAGCTAAGCTAAAGCTGAGCAACAGCTAAGCTAAAGCTAAGCTACAGCTAAGCTAAAGCTATAGGCTAAAGCTAAGCTAAAGTTAAGCTACAGCTAAGCTAAAGCTAAGCTACAGCTAAGCTAAAGCCAAGCTAAAGCTAAGCTAAAGCTAAGCTCAAGCTAAGCTCAATCTAAGCTAAAGCTAAGCTAACGCTAAGCTAAAGCTACGCTAAACGCTAAACGAAAAGCTAAGCAACACGCTAGGCTAAAGCTAAGCTACAGCTAACGAAGCTAAAGCTAAGGTAAAGCTAAAGGTAAAGCTAAAGCTAAAACTCACAGGGGACTGGGGGGAACCGCTCCCAGGGGGCCGGGGGAACCGCCCGGGGCGCTTTCCATTGCCCGGCCTCTTTAAGCTGAGAGAGTACGGAAAAAACGGAAAAAAAACACAAAAAAAAAAAAACTTGATCTCTACCTCTGTCCTTCCTACCTCCTCCGTTTCCTTCCCTCGTTCGTCCTTCTCATTCTTCCCCTTCTCCTCATCCTCCCCCCCTCCTTCCCTTCCTCCTTCCATCCTTCCTTCCTTCCTCCCTTCCTTTATTCCTTCCTCCTCCTCCTCCCCCCCCTTCTCATCGTGCCCCCCCCTCCTCCTTAGCCCCCCCCACCCTCGGGTGGCAAATCTATGTTTGTTTGTTTCTTCTTTTTTTTTTTGGGGGGGGGTGGCGATGAGCATCCTTTCTGGCCGTCTTGAAATGGCACAACGCCTCCCGCCACGCGTCGAGGTTCGACGATGCAGGAGATGAGCGTTTCTTCTCCAGCGCGACGGGCAGCACGCTCTCGTAGCCGTACAACAGCAGCCTGAAGTCTATGTGCAACGTGTTGCTGATCTTGGAGATGGCATCCTTGTTGGTCGGCTTGGCGGCGAAAGCCTTCCCACGGGCATGTAGGTTGAACACGTCGAACGCGCCGCGCACCTCGAAGTCTGGCCACTCGGCCCTGACCGTGGCCGTGGCGAGGCGGCACCATGCGACCATGCGTCTCCGGCAACGCTCGCGGACAGCGTCGGTTAAGCTGCCTCGGCCGCCGATAGTCTTCGGCTGCCCCTTCACGAACACAGTCACAGGCCTCCTCTCCAAGGCGTCAGCAATGAACTTCGTGTACCCCATGTTGTAGCACTGGGACTCAACGAACAGCATCGCGATGCGCTGAAGAAAATGCTCGTTGTGGCTCGGAATCGCCGCCTCGTCCAGGTCGTCGCTGTCCATGATGCGAGTGTGCGCCAAGCTCTCGTCGCCGGCGTCGGCGAGCATCCCGAGCTGCAACAACTTTTCCTCATCCACGAAGCTGAGGAACCTACTCGCGTGCTCTGAGTCCGGCGTGCCCCGGCGAACCTGCGCGATCTGCATCGTTGTGAGAAGGCACGGCTCATGGAACAAAACGCCCCTGCCTGTAGGCTTCGAATGGCTGTCGAAGCGGCACTTGCACATGCTCATGTCCTTGATCTTCAGGTTGTTCAGGAAATGACACTCGACGTTGGACACATTCATGGCAAACCAGTTCTGGTAAATCTTGGAGTACTGAATCATGCTGGTCAAAGATTTTTCTCCAAGCACCATCTGATCGAGCAGCTCTGACAAGAACGGGTCCGCCTCCCAAGGTTTCTTCGTGGGGCGGCGGGCTGCGTGGGCGCGGTCGCGGGACACGATCTTGAGGTTCGCAAGCGGCGCCCATGCTTCTCGCACCGGCACTGGCGCTTTCCACTGTCGGCCACGCAACAGGTTCCCCGTCAGTTGTTCGTCTGCAGCCGCATCCGCCGCATAGTGTTCGATCTTGCTGAACACCTGCTTGACGAGATCAACGTCGGGCTCCTTCCTGGCTCGGCCGCGCGGGGCCCCGCTCATCGGCGTGCAGAACCGAACCAGGATCCGGGCCGCGTCGAGGCTGAGGTCGTCGGAGCCGGCGCCCCGGCCGAGCTGGATCTGGCCGATGATCCCCTCGCGAACCTCCAGGTTCGCGTTGGCCGCCTGAAGTAGACACATAAAAACTCCTCTGCTATCCTGTCCTACTCCTCTCCTCTTCCTCCTTCCTCCTCTTCCTCCTTCCTCCTGGAAGCCTCGTCCTTCCTCCTCTTCCTCCCCCTCCTCCTCCTCATCCTCAACATCAGCATCATCATCATCCTCTCTTCCTCCCTTCCCCTCCTTCTCCACTGCGCCTCCTCTACCTGTTCCTGCTGCTTCTGCTACTTCTGCTGCTGCTCCTCTCTATCAGTTCTCCTCCTCCTTCTCATCCTCACCCCCCCTCCCTCCTCCTTCTTCTCGTCTTCGTCCTATCCTCATCCTCCTTCTCCTCCTCCTGGCCCTTCTCCTCCCCATCCTCATCTTTTCCTCGTCCGCCTCCTTCTCCACCTCCTCCTTCTTCTTTTCCTCCTCTTCTTCCTCCCCCCCCCGCCCCCCTCCTCCCAGCCTTGAACCGCATCAAGAGCCGGTGGCCACGACAATCTTGCATGATGGTGATGGACTCGGCGTTCGCGAGGAAACGGCGATGCTCGGTGCGCACCGCCTCCGCCAAACAGAACCCCATCACCCTCACTTTCTTGCGCTTCCCGACCGTCGGGACACCAGCAGCTGCTCGGCCCTGGCCCTGCTGGTAGTGGTCCAACACCAGCTCGAACGCACCTGCCGACGGGGCAGGCGGGTCCACGGCCTTGCCCAACAAGGCCGCGACCGCGTCCCTGTGGGCCTGGCTCCTCGCGCCGTGCCTCTGGAACGCGAACGGCTGGGCCTTGGCGGTGAACGTGCCGAAGGAGTCGGACCTAGTGCGAGGGGGGACCCCTCGCCATCCTCTTTTTCTTCCCCCAGCGCCGCCTCTCCCCCCCCTTCCCCTCGCCGCCCCCAAAAGAAAAAAAGGCGGCGGGTGGAGGGGTGGCGAGGGCGCAGACGCGGAAGGCGAAGAAGGGAGGGCTCGGGATGCTCAGCCCGCCAACCTGCCGGCGGCCTTGCACGCCAGGCACCCCCACCCCGTCTTGAAGCGGAACAGCCAGCTGCCCAGCTCCGGGCGACGGGGGTCCAGCAAGCAGCGCGCCTGGGCACGGGGGGGGCAAGGAAGAAAAAGGGGGAGGCGAAAGGGGCATGAAACCGAGGAGGAGGAGCGGAAGAAGAAAGAAAGGAGGCGAGGAGGAGAAGGAGGAGTAGGAGGAGGAGGAAGGGGAGAAGGAAGAGGAGGATGAGGAGAAGGAGGAGGAGGAGGAGAAGGGGGAAAAGGAAGATGGGGAAGAGGAGGAGAAGGAGGAGGACGAGGGGGACATGGACGAGGAGTGGGAAAAGGAAGAGGAGGAGGAGGAGGAGAAGGAGCAGCAGAGGGAGGCAGGAAGAGAAGTCCGGATGATAGAGGGAGGAGGCGATGAGGAGATTATCCCAGTGCGACCCTACCTAGGAGTTGGAGCATATAGGAAAGCAACATCTACATCTACACCGACAGCTACATGTATATATACATGTGCATCTACATCTACATCAACATCAACAGCGAGACTGACATATACATCTACATATACACGTTCATAAACACTTACACCTACATACACATCTACATATACACACATCCACATCTATACGTACACCATTATATACATATAATAGGGTATGGCATGTTATAATATGCTATGATATGCTATCATATGCTGCGTCCTGATATGATATGTTATGATATATTATGATGTGCTAAGTTGCGATATGCTAGGCTCAGATATGTTATGCTATGCTATGATTGGTGATGCCATGGTATTGCTATATTGTGCAAATGCTGCGCTAATGCTTTGCTGCGCTAAGCCAAGTTAAGGTAAACTAAGGTATGCTAAGCTAAACTAAGCTAACCTAGGCTAGGCTAAGCTAAGCTATGCTAAACTCAGCTACGCTAAGCTAAGCTAAGCTAAGCTAAGCTAAGCTAAGAGGATATAAACTATAGTAAGCTTAACTAGACTAAGCTAAACTAAGCTAAGCTAAGCTGGGAGAACCCAGGGGGCGCAACTGGGGAACCGCGGGGCGGATGCCGGGGGAACCGCCCAGGGCGATGGCCACTGCCCGGCCCTTTAAGCATAGCAAGTAAGAACCTTTCTAGGCAGAACCTAGGTAGGGAATGGGGCGAGAAGGGGAGAGAAGAAAGAGGAGGAGGCAACGGGAAGGAGAGGGACTACGACGACGAGGAGAAGGTGAGGAAGAAAAGGAAGAGAAGGATAAGAAGGATAAGGAGAAATATGAAGGGGAGGAGGAGGAGGAGGAGAAGGAAGAGGGGAAGGAAGAAGATGACGATGGCGAGGACGAGGACTTGGAGGACAATGATGCAGAGGGGCGGGACGAGGGAGGGGAGGAGGAGGAAGGGGGGAGAGAGGAGGGAGGGAGAGAAGAGGAAGAAGAGAGATAATAAAGAAGAGGGGAAGAGAGGAGGAGTAATAGGTCGGGTGACCCCGGTGACCACGCAGCCTCCTCGTCCTCCTCCGTCCTCTCTGTCCACCCTCTCCTCCTCCTTGACCGACTTCTCCTCGTCCTCCCTCCCCTCCTCCTCGTCCTCCCTCTCCTCCCTCTCATCCTCCTCCTCCTGCTCCTTCTCCTCCTTCTCCTCCTTCTCCTCAATCTCCTCTCTCCTCCCTCTCCTCCCTCTCCCTCTCCTCCTCCGTGGAGCCTTCCAAATCGCCACCACGGCGTCAGAAGGCTCGCTCCGCTTGCTCAGCGCCACCATGGCGGCGCCGGCGCCCAGCGGCCCCCTCCCCCCCGCCCGCCGCCAGGCACCTCTGAGCGGTTGGCCGGCGGTCGCACGTCTCCATCGTCGTCATCGTCGACGTCGCGGCCCCCCTAGACGTCCAACGTCTAGGCGAACCGCGACGTCGGCGATGGCGAGGGGGTGATAGGACGAGGGGAACGATGGGGAAGATGAAGAGGAGTAGGAGAAGGAGAAGGAGGAGGAGGAGGAGGAGGAGGAGGAGGAGGATAAGGAGAAGGAGGAGAAGGACACAGGATCACGAGTTGTGGTGACGAGAACAGACGGAGCAAGAAGAGAAGGGCAGAGAGAAAGAGAGAGAGAGAGAGAGAGAGAGAGCGAGAGAGAGAGAGAGAGAGAGAGAGAGACGAGGCGACGAGGAGCAGGGATGAGGAGAGGAAGGATGAGAAGGGAGTAGGATAAGGGTCCGACGAGCTCGTGCGCCCCAAAGGCAGACGCTATCGCCATCGGCTGCGAATGCGTCGCCGTCCATACTTGGTATGGCGGCGTCGCTTTCGGAGGCCAACAGCGATGACCGTGCGCCCGGGAATCGCGGGGCGTGGGGGGGTTGGGCCGCTGGAAGCGCGGCCGGGCGGCGGGCCCAGGCCCGCCAGGCGGGGGCGGCGCCCCGCGAAGCCCAAATGGGCTCGAGAGGAGAAGTGGGCGAGGTGAAGGAGGAGCAGGGGGGGAAGGGGAAAGACGGAGGAGGAAGAGGTGGAGATGGACGGGGAGGAGGATGAAGAAGGAGGAGGAGACGAGAAGGAGGATGAGAAGGAGGAAGAAGAGGATATGGTGACGACCCCCTTGGTGAACTTGAGCCCAGCGTTGGGGCCCGTGGGCCCCTCGGGAATTCCACCGCGCCCCTGGTGCCCCTGACCTGGGAAGCCGATGACTTGGCGACGATGGGCGTGGGGAAATGAGAGGGAGGCGTCTCATCCTTCTACTCCTCCACCCCCTCTTCCTCATACTCATCCTTTTCCTCTTCCTTCTCCTTCTTTCTCCACCTCCCTCTTCATCCTTCTCCTCCTCCTCCTCCTGGTCCTCCACTTTCTCCTCCTCCTTCTCCACCTCCCCTGCCTCCTCCTCCCGGCGTCCTTCGCCGCGGTGCGATGACGAGGTGTGCTGCGTCGGCGTGAAAAGACGACGCCCTCCCCAGCGCGGCGTTCCTTCCCCCCTCTCCTTCTCCACCTCCTCGCCCTCCACGCGTGGAGGCGGGGCGGCCTGCTGCCGGCGGCGGCCCAGCTGCCCGGCGGCCGCGCAGCGCCGCCAGCCCCCCCGATGGGGCACTCGGCCGGAGGAGGAGAGGGCATTCCCAGGGTCCAGGGAGAAAGTTTTTCATGTTCGGCCTTCCCAGGTTAAAACCATCCTGGAAAGCGAAACCCAGGGGCGGCTGGTCCAGGAGCCCAAATTCAAACGACTACGACGAGGAGAGGAGGAGGGGGAGGAGGAGGAAAAGGAGGAGGATGAAGAGGATGAGGCGAGGAGGATGATAAGAAGCAGGAGCAGGACGAGGACGAGGGCCAGGAATCAGGAAGAGAAGGAGGAGAAGTAGAAGGAGAAGCTAAACCCTCGACGAAGACGTGTACTAATAATGAAGAACTGGGGGGAAGGAAGAGGAGGAGGAGGAGGAACATGAGGAAGAGAAAGCAGGAGGAGAAAGGAAGAGGAGGAGGAGGATAATGAAGAGGAGGAGGAGGAGCCCGGGGGGAAGAAGTTGCGGATTCCTCCTCCACCTCCACCTCCTCCTCCGCTCCCCCTGCTTATCATCGTCCTCATCGTCCTCATCATCACCACCCCCTCGTATGTATAATCCTCTTGTTCCTGTCACTCCTTGTTCTTCTCGTATCCTCGACGTCGTCCACAGCCCTTCCCGATGTTCCTCCTCTTCTTTCTACTCCTCATTCTCCTGCTACGTATCCTCCTTCTCCTTCTCCCCCTCCTCCTCATCCTTCTCATCCTTCTCCTTCTCTCTCTTTCTTTCTCTCTCTCTCTCTCTCTCTCTCCTCTCTCTCTCCCTCTCTCTCTCTCTCTTTCTCTCTCTCTCTCTCTCTTTCTCTACCTCCCTCCCCTCTCTATACTTAGGTGTCTCCCTCTCCACCTTTCACATTGTTTTTCTCATTCCCTTCTCCTCCCTCTCTGCTCCTCCTCCTTATTTATTCATCCTCATCTTTCTCCCAAGCTATCCCCCGCTCCTTCAAGGCCTCATAACTTATCCTATGCCTCTACCCTGGTCCTCCTCGACCTCCTCTTCCTCCTCCTCCTTCTCCTCCTTCTCCTTCTCTCCTCCTCCTCCCCGTCTTTCTTCTCCTCCTCCTCCTCCTCCTTGTTATCTTCCTTCATCCCTTCCTTCTCCTCCTCGACCTCCTCTTCCTCCTCCCCCTCCTTCTTCTCCCCCTCCCCCCCCACCCCCCTCCCGACCGTTGCCCGCGACCTACCAGCTGCGTCTGCCCAACGCCGAAACGCACTGTCGGCGCCCGCTTGAGTCAAGGCTTGGGTGGCCACATGCGTCCGCCACACCCAGTGCAACGGTTCGTGGCCCCATAGGCAGCTCCACCATGGCCCCAATGGGGGGGGGGCAGATGCGTCCGCCACACCCAATACAGCGCTTCGTGGCCCCATAGGGAATTCCACGAAAGGCCCCAGTGGGGGTGGCCACATGCGCCCGCCACACCCAGTACAGCGTTTCGTGGCCCCATAGGGAGCTCCACAGAAAAACCCCAGCGGCACCGCCCGCATGCGTCGTCCACCACCCAGTAATGCATTTCGCGGCCCCCATTGCTTGGGATTTCCACCCAAGACCGCAGTGGCACCAACCGCATGCGTCCCCCCGCCCAGTATAGCGTTTCGAGGCCCCGTAGGGAGCTCCAGTGGCCACCGAAGGCCCCAGCGGCAACGCCCGCATGCGCCCCCCCCCTCCCGTGGCCCCATAAGGAGCTCCACCGAAAAGCCCAGTGGCACTGCCCGCATGCGCCGGCCACCACCCAGTGCAGCGTTTCGTGGCCCCGTAGGGAGCTCCACAGAAAGACCCCAACGGCACCGCCCGCATGCGTTTCCCCCAACCAATACAACGCTTCGTGGCCTCACCGGGAGCTCCAGCGAGGGGCACCACCCGCATGCGTCAACCACACCCAGGGCAGCGCCTCGTGGCCCACAGGGAGCCCCACCGAAGGCCCCAATGTCACCGCCCGCATGCGTCTCCCCCACCCATTACGGCACGTCCCTCACGCGTTTGGCCCCATAGGGAGTTCCACCGAAAGCGGCACCCACAACGCATTACTCACAACTGCATATGGTTG